CCCCCCCCCCCCCCCCCCGGCCTGGAGCTTGCCTGCGGCTTCCATTACGCACCACACACGCCACACCACACACGCCGCATATGACACTTTGCGACAAGTAGGCACTGTGACAGGGTACGGAATGGCCGACCAGCTCCTCGCAGCAGACGACCGCGCCCGCCAGGCGCGCCGAGCCGGCCTGCAAGCGAAGAAGGACGAGCAGCCGCACAATACGGCCCGTAGCTATGCGGCAAAGCAGCGGGAATGGAAAGTAGGGCAATCATATCCCTCCATTCCTTTGCTTTCTCTTCTCTGTGCCGGGCCGGGCCGGGCCGGCCCAGCTCGGTTATGCTTTATGTTACTTACCAAATAGTAAATAGAAGTGGTGCCTGACGCCGCGTATGGCCGAGGACGGCTCGGCCTATACCTGACCAGACGGGGAGCTTGTTACCCCTGACAAGCTAGCTGCGTGGTTGAAAGAGGACGTTCTCTTGCGGCGGGTAAAGGCGTCGGCGGTGCGGCGTAAGGCGCGCGGTCCGGCCCGACGAGGGAAGACGGCGGCGGATGCCGATGCTGCTGATGCTGAGGCCGAGGCTGCAGCCTTCGCCGAGGCCCAGGTTTTGGCGGAGACCTTAGGTGTACCGCTGACCGAGGCCGTACAGCTGCTTGCCGATGACAGAGAAGATTATGACCCGCCAGCCGCCCTTGCGTCGGTGGAAGAGGGAGACAAGGCTGCTGTCGAGGGTACCCTGCTGACGCGGGGAACCCTCGATGCCTATGTCGCAGCCGTCATCGAGCTCTGGAGGCTGCAGGTAGCACACGGGAACCACAACATCGAAAACCCCCGCGGCGCGGCCGTACGTGGATTCCTCGAACAGCGGGGCCGGCAGCGCGGCCGCTTCGATCGGGAGACTTTCCAAGACCGCGGCGCCGATGGAATCCAGGCCGGCTACTCGTCCGAAGAGTGGCAGCGAGTACAGACCATCTTGTTAAGCGGAACAGCTCAGACACCGCAAAACCTACGCACCCGCGTCGACCTCCTTCTCGGCCATTATTCCCTTCTCCGAGGCGAGAACCGCCGTAAGATGGAGCTGGCCGACCTCTCTCTGCTCGATTACCCAGCCTCCGAAGGCCCGACACAGTGCGGCTGCCTTGTGGCTCTTCTCCGAGACGGGAAGATGAACAAGACGGCGAAGAAGGAGTTCATGGGCTCGCTCCGCCACAAAGACCCGCTCCTCTGCACGCAGGGCGCCCTAGCACAGCTCTTCTTCTGGCGATGGCATATCGCTGGTGAAGATCCACCTTCGTTTCGGCGCCGGCAAGACTGGTATAGGATCAAAGTCCTTGTCGGGCGGGACCGCGAGCAAGAGCTCTCGTACCCGGTACAGCTCCAAGAGACCTGGCGTATCTTCGGGGCGGCCGGTGTAACGGCTGCAAAGAAAACGCATCTCCCGCGCCGGACTGGCGCGCAAGATGCCGAGACGCACGGCTCGTCCCTCGCCCAGATTTCGCAGGCCGGCCGTTGGAACCAGAGCGTCCTCGTGAAGGCCTATCTTACCCATCTTCCCCGCGAATTCATGCGAGTCGTTGCTGGCTTCTCGGCTAAGGCCGGCGACTACTTCATTGCCCGTGCAGCCCATGAGCCGCCGCTCGCCCTCCAGAAACGGCTTTGGCCTTGGATCGAAGAGTGGGAGCCCCGTTTCGAGGCCCGGGCATGCCGGAAGCGCTGGGCGCAAGGTGGCCTCGATGAGGACGACTTGGCTGCAGATGGCTTCCTTAAGCTGATGCGGCGGTTACGAACCGTCCTGTTACAGGATCTAGCCGTCTTACAGCCCCGGTTTCCCTCACTCCCTTTCTTCGCCTACCCCCCCTTTTCTGGGCCCGATTGGGGGGCGTTTGCCCTTGCGGTACGGTCGGACGTAGCTGCAAGCGAGCCGCCGAGCCTGCTTCTACAGCGGGCTTTGCCCGAGATCAGCGCCGCTTTTGAGAGCTCTCGGGACGCAGTCTTGCGCAATAGCGGCCGGCTAATCGGGGACCTTGAGCGCCGGCTCGACACCCAGCTAAAGAGCCTAGATACCCGGCTCAACAGTGTCCAAGACAGCCTGGGTGCCTTGATCCAAGGCCGAGTGCCCATCCCTCTTAGAGGATATCTAGGTGGCCCGGATGCCCTGGGTGCTCTGGGCGGGCCGGTTACCTTGGTTACCCCGGCCGCAGCTGCTCCAGCCGAGCCGAGTCCCACTGTTTTCCAAACCTTGACGAAGGCCTATACGGTACAGGATGTCTGGAGAGACTGGAAGGAGGGCGTCGCTGGCCGACCAGCCGTACGAGAGCTAGAGGAGCGGTGGGGGAGCCGCTGGCGCCCGGGCGGTACGATCAGGGTCCAATTCTGCCGCCGGAAGGTCATCTGGGACGAGCTCTTAACACGCATAGCACGCGGTCAAAGCGAGGACGAGGCTGTCGCAGAGCTAGAGCGGCTGCGGGAGGGCCGTAGCCTTAACCAGCTCATTGACAGCCTAAAGCTGCGCCGTCGAAGGAGCAGAAAGCCAGCCACAGCTGCCCAGAACATCTCCTGACGCGACGCCTTTGAAGTGTTCTTTTACATATACATAGTTATAACTGCAGATGTATCAGATTCGCCGTACCGAGTTCAGTCGCCCTCGATTAGGCTTGTGTTGGCACCGGCCGCGCCAGGGGGCAGTGAGTGGGTCCTGTCTGGGGATGTGGATCGGGTGTGGGCCGAACTTATCATTTTGAAGTTGTGTAATCACTGCGGATTACATGTAATTCCCCAGCAAAACCGACCAACGATAAGTTCTGCTTATCATGTACGTTATCTCATTAGCTTAACATCCACATAGCTTACAATACAATACAATACAATTTATTGACGCCCGGCGGGTAATCCGAAAGGGCAGCTATTACAATCTGACTACCCGCCGGGCGTCAATAAATTGTATTGTATTGTATTGTATACATTTCCCAAGATATGCCCTGATCTCGTCAAAGCCCATACAACACAGCTTACACACACTAGCGAAATCGCCTTCCGCTCCAGACAATGTCACTGAATTCTCAGCGCACAGTCCATATGCCATTTTTGGCGTTGTGGGTCCTCTGCATGCTGCCTCCCTTGTACCTCGCTGACTTGGTACTTACTACGTGGGTCAGAGCTGATCATTGCCCCTCTATTTACTTCTTCCTCCCGAAATTTATACTCTATTTAAATCCCTATTGTAACGAGCGCAGCCAGGCTTAGCAGGAACGGCTCTGGCCGTCTCTTTACGGTTACGTAGCTTCTCCACCTAGACGACATCGGCGCTTCTAGCTTGCCCTGAATGGAAACCTACTGGTGGCAACCGTATTGCATCATGTGCACCGGATATTGCTCGCTCTCACCTCGACTAGACTGAAGATATGATTTGAAGATGCAATTTATCTTTGGTCCGAGAGCTATAACTTCCAGCGCCAGCTGGTTAGAGAATGTATGAATCTAAACAGTACGCAATTGCAGGTAACAGGCATAGGAATCATGGGGTAAAAACAGGCAAAGTTCAGATCTGACCCAGATGGTAGGTACCATGTCAGCGAGGGACATACGAGGCCAGCTGACGAGAGCCAAAAATGGCTCATGGACCGTGCGCTGAGAATTCAGTGACGCGTCCAGGGCGGAAGGCGATTTCGCTAGCGACGGTACCGACCTCAACCTCGAACATCTAGCCAGTCTGCCAAATTGGGACACGTCCATTCACACTTGAAACATCTAGCATAGTGGTTCTTTAGGTCAACGCGATCTCTAGCATGCGTAAGGGATACGAGTCAATGATCTGAACCCAACAAGCATTTATAAACTTATCTACGTAATAAACCTGGGTATATCTATCAAAACGGACTTTCTGGTGACTCTATTGTCTTTGCACCCATTCTACATGATCTAGGCAAGCAATAGGGCGATTCGTAAACAGAATATTAGACCGCGATTCCCTCTTAGGTTTACCTGAGGACGTCCTGTCAGTTGAGTATCTTTCACAGCATTGCCGTTGGTGGGTTTCGCGGCCAAAACCCTGGAGAGAGAAATGCCAGTGGATAACGGTCGATAGACACCTCAAGGATATTATCTCCGGAAATATGGTAAAATTTCAAACTCGGTAGTTATTCTGTTCTTTTAAATTTAGCTTGCAATACATCCGTATAGGTCGGTTAATTTAGAACTAACGTCATACTCCCCTCGACCGGCTTGCCCCCATGCTGGCAGGCTGACACAAGCAACAAGCGGATCAAGCGCGAAGAGAGCGCCGACGCGCCCTCGCGAACAGACCTCCCCCTCCCCCCCTCCCGTGGACGGGATGTCGCCAGCCAAGCGCTCTCCCGGCCGCCGCCGCCGGCACAGGTGCTCAGTCTTCCTCCTCCCTGTCAACGGGCTTCTCCCAATCGACATCGTCCCCTCAGCCATCAACTTTGAAATGTTAGCCACCAGGTAATCCGAGCTTTAACTGCAACTCTCTTACATCGTCGTTTACTCTTCTGTATTTGTACCTGCTCTGTACTTCCACGCATTTTATACAACGAGTCTTCGCCAGAGCCGCTACACCTCATTACTCCAATGTTGGCTCCCTCCTCTCCACATGCAGCATCCCAACCGGACATTCTTAGCCCCTTTGGGTAAGGCCGCCTACACCAATCACAGCTATTTTTTGCGGATATGACCACCAACGCCTTGGTATCAAGACCACGACATTGTTACATCCAGTTGATTGCATATCCATGCAATTGAGTCATTCGTTACCCGTTATGCTGCTATGGTTCAATGGGCTTCCCAACGCCTCAACCATCGACATCGGGGCGCGACGCCCAGCGGCCGGCGCGGCCCCATATCGAGGCTCAGACCGAGTACTGTGAAGGCGACAACGGCCTCGACGAACCGTCTAAGAGCATATTTTAAAACGAGTTCCCTAATTCTACAATTGTAATGGCGCTTCAGGCCCTTGTCGCGGAACGGACGGTGGCGGTGGTGGGGGCTGCCAAATGCTGGTGTGGCTGGTGCAGCCGACTCATAGGCTTAAAGAGGTCAAGATGTGTGAGAGTTTTGTGGAATACACGTGTGGAAAGAGGTGATGGGAAATAAATGGCTCGAACCAACAAAGCGGGGTTTTTTCAAGGATGACGAATCCGAGCTCGCGCCGTTGACAGATACAAGACCTACAGTTGTACTAGCCAGCGAGTACGACGGTGGGTCTTCCGTCAAGATGGGGCCGTAAGCCTGGTTGCAGGCCTGTGTTGACATCGTTGGCATCATCGCAGTGGGACTAATTCTAATTCTTATATTTCAAGTTTACCGCTCAAATCAGTGTCCCTTTATAGACTTTGGTCCATCTAAAGGCAACACTCTTCGTTCCTGTCTTAGTTTAACGACGCCTGCGCATGTATCGAAACTCCTGGTCGCTGAGACCCCATTGGCTCGTTCTAAGCCACTGAGCTCTGGATTGAATGCTTTAGCAGGTATCCGATCTATGCCCGTCTATTGAACCGCTTGAGCTTCTCTTCACCCTTTTGAGCCAGATATCATAACAAATGCCTTAAGCCCGAACACTCGATGGTGTGAGGGTCTGGCTTGCGGCCGTGAAACACTTAGTATAGAGTCTTCCAACCGATTATTTTGCGGGGAGTACGATCTTCAACAGTAAGAATGCTATTTGCCCTATCACCTTCCAGCACTGCTGGACCCATCGCGCGCATTGCGTTCTTGACTACACCCCCCTCGAGCGTCATTCTGCTGCGGCGTGCAGGTCGACGAAGCCTCGAGTTTAATGCCTCAGCCACAAACTTTCAGCCTTAACCCCACCCATTACTCCGACAACCACTGAAGGGTAAATAAATACCCCTGAATTTCTGAGCCCCCGAGCACCCAAGTCTCCAAACCAGTTCGACGATGGAAACCCCTTCTTCATCTCGCTCCGTTCAGGGTCCCCTGGTCGTCTCAGCACAACTTTGCCATCCTTCCCTCCGCCAGATTCGGAAGCCACTGATTGTCCTGATGTTTCGGAGCCCCTTTGCGAGGCTGATCAGCGCCAGATCACGCGGGTTGAGACCGCAGCCGTGCAGTGGCCCAACACGAGACACTATTCTGCCTTGCAACAGGTGGCACAGGTGGCTATTTCAACACCGTGTCTCGGAGCCAAATGGAACTTAGGCAGCCCTCTCCTCAACCAGGTCCGGACCCGTTTTTCGCCGCCCTTACCAACGTAGCCATGAGCCTTGCAGGATGTGACCGCCCTTATATTAACGCTGCCTGGTTACTGAGAGCAGTATGCCCGGGGTATCATCGTCCTTCACCCATGAATAATACTCCAGTACGGTTGAAGGGTGGGGGTGGATGAATATCAGTTAGGTCCGAGTTGAGGGCTTGCAAGCAGCTTGTCTGCCGGGTTGAGGGTCGTATAAGATAACTCGGCCGCCTAAACACTCCTCCCTCTTACCTGCCCTGCTATCCAACAGCATCGCCTGGTCAAAAAGAGCTCGGTTTTAGTAGCAGGGCTTAGTCACGCCGATGTTGAATCACTGCCCTGATATCTTCGGAGAGAAGTGCGTGGAAGCGGACTCTTCTTACCCTCTGGCTCCTCTTTGGACCAGGGACCCCCGACCCTCCTCGCCGCAAGGACCGCCCTCGCAATCTCGGATTTGGTGTGCCAGACCCCCCTCGTGATACCTCCGAACCGCCTGTTGAGAACCCCGCGGTTCTATGTATCCAAGTACCGCGGCCGCCAGAGTACGCTGCGTGCTGTGATCTGGCTGCTGAACAGGTGACCACCCCCTTTCGTCCGAGAGCCAGCCAGCTACGCCCACTCGTTCACGGTCTCGTTCTTGGTCTGCGGCAGTGATAGGGGCCGTGGAGGGCACCCGATGAACTTCATTGGCGTTGACAAGCATTCCAATGGGTCGAGAGATGAAGAACCTGTCGCATCAGCCGCTCTATATGTCAGGCGCAGCACATGGTGCTGCCACGTTGGATGTTCTTATTGGAGACCTCTTTTTTTTAGGTAGATCAAACAACTCTGCCCCGGGCTTGCGGATCCGACCAAACCGTCCCCAGCCTCGTAGGGACAAGGCTCCCTCAAGCCGGCATTGATATGGTATACACACATCGGGTATAAGAAGCGTCCTCTTTCCACTCTGAGGTCCCATTGCAATCACTATCCTTTCGCAAACTTCTACTCCTGCTCGACGCCAGACTCTTTCTCGATCTTGACTCTTTCCACACACAACCCTCAGTCAGCCTTCCTCGCAATGAGTTCGAACGAAAACATGTCGGGACGGAGGGTTATCGGTGTTCTCCCGACCATCCAACAACCCCGGAGGTTCCTGGAGACGTTCGACCTGGAGACGTTCAACTATGCCCTCTCCTGGGATGCATTCAATCTGGGTCCCGGGAACCATGCGTCGGCGAATGCACCAATGTGTCCTTGCGGTTCAATGGACCACAGGCTGCATCCCGACTCAGCCAACGAGCGCGGCCTTCGACTTCACGAGATGACTCTTTCCGAAGACACTCCAGGCGATGCGTTCTTCCATAGCCTGATGGGCCTCCCACAAGAACACGGCTTGATCACAGACGACGATCTTCGACTGTACGGTTTGGCGCCTTGCGAGACGAGTGGCACTCCCCCTCCCTTCAGTGCGATGAGGGCCGTGGAAAACCTTGACTCGACCGCCGGCGACGACGACCTTCCGTCCTGCGACTTTGGCCGTTCGGAGCTAATGGACATTTCCTGTGGCTTGTTCACCCTCAGCGATGAGATGGAGCTCCCGGAGTTCCTCGCCTTGATCGACGGGAACGACCTTCAACTTTCCGGCTCGGGCTCTTCCAGAATGATGGGGACTCCTATCCATCTATCTCTCCTTGGACCATATACACAACACCAGAACGAGATTATCCCGGCTGGTCCCGAACTTCAAGTACCACAGCCATGCGGGGAGTCCGAGGTCGTGGACCAGCGACAGGACATGGATTACTTGGCAGGAGTATCCGCTCCATCCCCACCTATAGGTCCATCTGGAAACGGTCTCGGTGATGGAGTCAGTCCGAGCGTGGATGACACTGTTAGCGCGACCGGTGATGCTCTCAGGGTAGCCGACGAAGCCGATGCGAACCCAGGGCTATCCGCAACTTCAGACGGATTGTCTCTGGAGGGCCGCACCACCGCCAGGCGCCCACTCGGACGACTGCTGCAGACTCGCAACACCTCAGCTCGCCTTCAAAAAACCAAGAAAAGGAGTGGCCCAGGCTCCCGTGTGCGCCGCGGAAAGCAAAGACAGCAACGGAAAGACCCTCACCCCGGTCTCCTCGTCAAGGAGTTTATTCTCCTTCTCAATGACGGACCAGTGAACTACCATTGGAATCGCCATGATAAGACTTGGTGCGGTGCTGATGAAGAAGTGGCGGGGATGGTTGAGCTGACCGAAATCCTGAAGTCATCTCCACAACTCGTCCAGATCCTTGGACACCCGGGCTGGGGATACAAAGTGTTATTTGGTTGGAATGAGACTTCGGCTCGTTTTGAGGGGCATGCCGAGGGTGACTCTGATGTTTACCAGTATTCGATACCGAGCATGGAGATGTATATGTTCCAATTGATGGATCGCGGCCGGGCAGTCCAACAGTAGCGGGGTGTACAATAGTTGGTAGGAAGATTTGATGGACAGTTTTGCTCGTGTTCATCCTCTCGATTGCCCCCCAACGATGCCGACCCTGTAATGCTTGCACGATTGTCCGCCCTTGATCTAGCGTAAAGCTCGCCAGAAGACATCGATGCTTTGACGCAGGGCGCAAGAGAAAAAGCCAACACTTTTAGCCCACGCAAAAGCCGTTGCCTGGCACACAGGCGGTTGGTGCTTACGCAGAGATCGGTTGATGCGGAGACAATTGATGCAAAGGATAGAGGTTGGTTGATGAGGGTGATACGAAGGTCAGTGATGCAGAGGATGCAGAGGTCGGCCACGCGCAACGACATCCGCGACATCGATTGATTTGTCGCAGCCATGGTAACGTCGACGATGGAAAAGCAGAGGATCGAGTATAACAAGAGCAAGGTACCGCGCAGGCCAGGGCGACTGTACGAGCAGCATTGTTGATGAAGGGGGAGGGTTGCAGTTGGGTAGCTGAGGTTTGAAGAAGATAAGTGGTTGAAGGGAATGCAAATTGAACAATCAACTGCTAATTGCTTCCAAACTTTACGGTGGCGCAACCGCCTGCCAGACTGCCAGTCCATACCATTCCATCGCAAACCCTTTTGAACTCTTTCCAATCACAACCTCCATTTGCAAAAATTGACCAATACGATGTCGCGCGTTGATTACGTACTGTACTGTACGGGATACAAGCCCCACCTCAGTACTAGCCAGCGAGCATAACGGTGGGTCTTAACACTTTCAGTCTACCCCACTAACATATGCGTCTCACGCCTTGTTTCTGACTCAATAAAGCGACTGCTTGCCACGATCAGAGCTCCGGACTGCCGCCTAGCATGAACGGATGAGGGAACTGTTTGTGACAGCCGGGATGATCGTTCGAGAAGAGCCCTTGTGTAAGGTGATCTCTTTCTGTCAGCCAGCAGGGCCAGGTGATCAAAAGCCATTCTGACGTCGAATATTTGAGCTCGTCTTATTAGGTAGTAGCGATAGTAGCAATGGCAATATGTCTTAGCAATTCGTTTGAGAATATGGTAATTGGTCACTTTATCGGTAGCTAGCGCTTGATTCAACTCTCACTTAGTAAACTAGGGCGGAACACCGCTTATATCATTGCTGCTGCAGGCTTGACTGCGCCGTTCAAGGGTAGGGAAAAACCGACCACGTTCCGTCCACCCCAACACGTATAGTACACTTGGCCTGCACCTTCCCCTCTTTCTCTAGCTGCTGGCGCACCTTTAGGAGAAACCCATCTATACGCAGACTGTACGGCCTCGCGTCCTTCGAGCAGATTGGACACCGCCATTTCTCTGGGCTCGACAGCTCTGGCGTGTTGGAGCAGGCGCATTTGGCCTGCCAATGTGGACACTTAGTCCTCGGCTCGGAAGGTCGTGTGTCGAGCCAGGTCTCCAGGTCAAAACACTCTATATGAGTGCATGCGATGCCGCGTGCAGGTATCTTGAAGATAGTAGAGCTAAAAGGATCCGCTAGATCGAGCGACAAGTCGGGTGTCTCACAGAAGACATCGTCATCGGGGTCGCTGGTCAAGCGCTGTTTGATCGTCTCGAGGGTCTCTTCCTCAGGGATTAGGCCCTGAGACCAGATAAAGTTGACGATGCTAGGTCGGGTAAGAGCCTCTAGCAGTTCGACGGCGACGAAGTGGTCCATTGCCTCCTCCCTCCCTGTGTTTAGAAGAACAATCCTGAGCACGTTCGTGCCGCAGATAATGAAGTCGGTAGCTTCTACAGCAGGGTCTTTCCTGTCGTGTGTTTGTCTGCGGATGTCAAGAGCCTGATGATTGAGTGATATGAATATGTGAGGCGGCCAATTGACTTCCAGCGTTGCCCACTGTTCCTCAACAAGAGTCGTCAGTGAACTCGGGACTTTGCAACACCTGACTCGCCATTGCAGCGCACCAGTGAATTTGACCATCGGCAGAGCGTCCCCAACCGTTTGTAGTTTGGATGCAAACTGCTGCGCCGTGACCTCGAAGCGAAACTCGTAGACCTTGTTATTCCTCGGAGGAATAGGCGCCGGTCCGATAGGGAGTGACTTGACAGCCTGGTAGAGCCGCTCCGTCCCGCCGTCCTCGATTACCCGCTCTGGGCTACCAAGGTGAGTTTGATGTCGAGGCATCATCATCGACTTTTTCAACGGACTGTACGGCATTCCTAAATGTGTGGCTTTGCCACGCCAAAACTGTAGCATAGGACCTCTCGCTTGTGTAGCACTCTGTTGTTGAAGGACTCCTCGTGGTGTCTGCTGTGTTGTTGATTTACAACCTCGAACCCTACTAGCGGGGAAGGGAGTAGCCGTCCCTGTAGGCTGAGATCCTCGACGCGTTGTCGTATGGAGACCAAGTCGCTGGGGAAGGCTTTTAACCACCTGCGAATCCTGTTGAAAACGCAGCCAATCGAGTTGCGGCTGAGATAACTGTCGCTCTCGTTGAAGCTCCCCACCTGGCCATCGCAGAGTCGGAGTAACAGTCATCTGCCTATAGTGCAGGGAACTGGGAGTTTGGCATGGCCTTGCTACCCGTATAGGTTGTATCGCCGCTGTCCCATTGAGGGCTCGGCAGGATGCGTGAGAATTTTCTTTCGGCGCTTGAAAGGGAACCGATGTCGTCACGCTGGTAGAAGACGGTGCTGGCGTAGTGTAGGAAGGGAAGACACACGCAGAGGGAGAGCCAGGACCCGGAGAAGAGTGGATGTCGGGCCGGAGGAGAAACGTTCGAGGTTTCTCGGCGCCAGGATCCAGACCCCCTTCTAGGGCGCTAAGAAGATGTTAGCGTACAAAAGAGGTGAAGCGAATGTATCCTCTATCATGACTCACTTTCCTCGCACCTTCTTCACTGAACGGAGCCATCCGCTAGTGTCCTCAAGTCTGTCTCGCTTGTCCCCAGTTCTACATCCAGGACGAGTCTCGGCAACAATCCCTGATCTCAGCGGCTTCTGCACATCTAGGCCCTCAGCAGCCCACCCGTCAATCGATTGGGCGTCCGCGGCGGAGGGTGTAGCTGAGTTTGACTCCGTATGCGTCGCCGTTGACGAAGCTGCTGATTGGATGGCCGGGGGGGATATTGCGTGGGCGGTGTACTGATCCCTAACAGGCAGCGGGGCGGGGCGTATCTGCGATGGCAAGGGCTCTTGGATCTCGATGATGGCTGGTTGAAGCACTCCACCGCGAGCGTCATGCTGGCTGGGTGCAGGATTCAGCAGGAACTCGACAGGGAGTCCCATCGTGCTAGGGTAAGGATGGAAATTACAAACAAGCAAGTGAGACGGAACGCAAGTTCCAATAGAGTGCAAAACCCGCGATGGTTTGTTTATATAGAGAGAAAACAAGAAGATATACTGTGTTAAGAGCCATAGTCACACAGTCTGAACTGCATGTAGTTACAGTCAGCAGAACGCAGCGCACGTCCAACAATGATCTGTACAAGCGACAACCTGACCCTAACCAGGGTACCGTGACAGCACATCAACCCGACACGTTTGCAGTGTCCGGCAATATTGGGAGAATCCTTTCCTAATAGAGATTGTCTCCATGCGGTCATGGTTACAGCACGAGCCGTAAGCATTGAGATGAGTCATCCAAAGAGCTGGCCTCAGCCCCTCAGATCCCAGCCTATCCCCCCGGTCGTTCGCTATTCCGCACACCCTCTCCTGTCTCACTTCCCAATTCTTCCAGCTTACATCGTCCATCACTCTGTGACGGTGGCAAGTTCGACATTCAAGTAAGAATTCGTTGACTCAATGAGCAGGCACAGTAGCAGCGAGTAACGGGTGACCCCGAACTCGTTGGCTACATGCGAGATTTCTACATTTGATATGCGAAGACTATAAGTTGAGACTTAAGCACAACTTCCCAATTCCAGTAAGTTACTCACCTAAAGCCGCCCAACTTTCCAATACTTTCAAAAACCTTCCCTTAAACATGGAGACTACATATTTCAAATCGGTTCTTTCATTGGCAGCCACATCCTCAGAGAATATCTTTGTTGCAATCGGTTACAGATGTGGTCGATATGGGAAAAAGCTCTCCAGTTTCCGCACGCCCATCACCTATTTGCGCGAGCAGACGTTGGTACCGTAGCAGCCACGTTGACGGATACGGTCCCCAGTGCAGATTGTAAGTAGAACCTTACAGTTTGGATCGACTTGCTAACCACAGCGCAGTTGCTTGTCCTTCTCTCGACGACGGCCTGGACCCCCCAATGATCTCGGTTGCGACCTGGCGTCCAAGTAAGGGCGAGTCCTTTCCGAACCCGTGGACAAACCTCCCGAACTTTCTTCCAGGTGACAGGTCGAGGAAACAGCCACGCGACTTCTTATTGACCTTGTTTCCGGTCGAACTCATTCCGTATATTGCCGCGTTTTTACCAGAGATTCGGCTGTCGCGCTCGCGCTGACCAGCAAGACGATGTACGATCTCGTTGGCCAAGGCGTCAACAATCTAAGCACTGTTGAGCAATGGGCCCTGATCTTACTCCTTATGTTTGGTCCTCTGAGAGTGGCCACCGGCTGCGTGGCCACCGGCTGCGTAGCGCCTGGTCCAATGAGGCAGAGACCCTTGTGCCCCATGTCGGCGAGAATGTGTCCCAATCAATCACCCTGCGTATGCTACAACATGTTTGAAGAGACTCGGAAGGCAAAGGCCGAGAGCAACGCATCTCCGCATCAGGCCTCTTGAACGTGCTACTGGCCGGGGGCCCAAAGCTACATGTCAGCTGTCATACCCCTGGCGCTCGGTATTCCCGCAATCCGGACACGAAGCGCATTCTGATGGGCCCAACGTTGGCATGGATGCACCCTGGCATAGGAGTTGACAAACCTCTGGTCAACCTGGCCGGTGTAGGAGTGACCAGGTCCCGTTGCCTGACAGTTCGGCAAGGCACATCTGATGATGCCCTGGTGTTCGCTACAGAATCGACAGCCCAGTATCAAACAAGTTGCGCGGCCCCCACCATTGTTCCCACCTTTTGAGATTGTAAACTGGATGAGGTTGCTGCTTGAATCGAGAAAACCATATCGCCTTAGGCGCCGCGGATAGTACTAGATGCCTCTCCGCCTCCTGGTTTTCCGGGGTTAACCCCCCCTAGACATAAGGGGATTCTGCAAATTCCTTGGTACATTCGGGTTGTAACAGAAAAAGCGGCCCGGAGCGTATAATAGGCAGCCATGACCATGCGGATCACGTGAAAATGCCTAAGCCTTGAATGGCAGTGCTGTCAAGGCACAAGCCTGGCATTTCCTCCTCGGGTGTCTAGGTAAGGCTTCGGGGTGTGCCTCAGCGGCCGCTGCTCTTTGGCAGCGAAATGGAGTTGCAGCTTTTCCCTATCTCCTCCTCTTCCTTCCCGCTGTCCTCTTCTCTTTCTATTGTTCATTCGCCATCAACACTTGAGAACCGGACCCGCCCTTCCCGTTCTCTCGACTAAGGTACCTCAGAGCTGAGATGGCTAGCTTGGACCACCGGGCAGACGAGAAAACCAGTCGTTCATTGCTTCCGAAAAGTTGAGGCATATCGAGAACAGCCTGATTGCCAACTTTGACGTGTGCGTCACTGAGGGAGTAGAATACATGGTTGTAATCTATGCCGCTATGTCGGCTGCGAAAAGTGAGGACGAAAGCGTTGGCAAAGGAGGAGTCAAGGATGGAACCTGCAAAGTACGGAGATGTGTTTGTGCTGAGTCTGGAAAATGCGCAATACGCCCTGTCGTCCAGTCTCAACTTCTTCCTTGAGGTCGTCATAGAACAGATATATTAGTCCATCTTCTCTAACCTCAGCGCGCAGCGCACCTTGTGGGAACTGAGTAGCGCAAACTGCGATGAACTTGGTCTGGCGTAGCCTGGCGAGTCGCTCCCACGCGTGCAACTTCTCGTCAACGTCACCGAATACCTTGCGGATCTCTTCCTCGCACTTGGTGTGCTTCGTGAAAACCTCTTGCGTAAACTCCTCTCGGTCGTCGTCGTTTTCATGCCCCAGATAGTCTTTCAATGTTCGTTCGAATCATCGGAGTGCTTTGCCTTCGAGTCGGGATGCGGCGTATCCGACCTTCTGGGTTTCGTTGACGGATCGCTCTTCGTAGCAGAGGGAAGTGAGACCTCATCTGGACAAGCCACCCAGAGAGTACTTAAACGGTGCCTCCATTTCGGCTTAAGGTGACGGAACACTCAAGTCCCCTTAAGAATTAGGGCTTGAGTGTTTAGTCAACTGGGCAGAAATCTCCCAACACTAGCTCACAAACTAATGCTACAAGTGATCTACTGTACGAGCATTAAGATAGAGTTATATCTGTTATATAAGCCTTCCCTATTCATGCTATATTTGCATTTGGCACTGTATGAGCCACGTTGGCTCTTTCTAAAGTCGCAGGTACCCTTCAACGCATCAAAGCTCCTCGCTCTCCTCCCGGTCAAACATCGGCGGACTCCGGGGCTCTCCCTCCGCGCCGCGCAGAGGCATATCTATCGTCAACTCAGAGGAGGAAGCTCCTTCAGGATCGTAGTCGCTTAGGTCTTCCCACTTCCAAGTAAACGTTTGTGCGGTCTGAACTTCGGTAGGGGGGAATGGAAGGAATGCTACCGAAGGGTTGACTGGCTGTGTAGGCCCTTTCTCCGGTTGATTTTCCTCTTTGGATTCTTGTTCAAGATTATGTTGCGATTCTTGTGGAAGCTTTTTTTGTAGTCGTCGCCGCTTGTTTATATGTTGGTCATACTTACGGTTTACTCGCAGGCTTATATACTCGTCACTCAATCTCTTTCGCTTCTTTGTTATTTTGCCGGGTTCCTTACTGCTGTTGTTTCGTTGTGGTCTCTGCTCTTGTAGTGCGTCTAACTCTTGAGGCGTAGCAAGTTCTAGAGGCGGGGAGACCTCCCTCTGATACATCTCTCGTGGCGGTACCTCTAGCTGTTGGGGCTGAGCAGGTTGTTCCTGTCCGGTTTGCTCTTCAGAGCCCTCTTTAGGTATTGTCCGCGAGACCTGGTTCAGCCGCTGGGGCTGAGCAATTTCTCTCGGAGGTATTACTCTTTGAGGCACATCCCACTGTGCTAAGTCCCGCCGTTGAGACTGAGCAAGCTGCTCCTCTCCGGTTTGCTTTTCAGAGCTCTTTTCGGGTGTCGGCTGCTCGGTTTCCTCATGTTGAGGTTCTGAAAGTCTAGGAGTTAGGTTTGACTGAAAGCCAGCTGCCGGAATCTCTAATCTCTTTTCTTGATGCTTAAACTTGTACCGTACTCCTGGGCTTTCATATTTGGCTCTTCGTCTTCTCTGTTCTCTATGTTGGGCCAGGGCTGTTCTTTTTCTCTTCTTTCTCGTTCCACCGATCTCTGCAAAAACTTCATCCCGTGGTTGTCCCAGCCGTTGTGGAAGAGTAATGTCGATATCCTGCTGGTTGTTTCTCGCTTGAGAGGATCCTAGTATTGGAACATCGGTCCTCTGTTCTCCTCGCAGTGAATTTTTTATCCCTGCTCTTCTCGATGGTTTGCGTATTGCCTCAGATTTCTTTCTGGACCGTCTTCCCGTTAGCGTACTCTTCTGCCCTCCTGTATAAGTGTATGATCCTGGTTTTTGGATCTTGAACTGCGGCGCCTTCGTCAAAACTCCCCGCCGTGATCTTGAGGGCCGCTTTCGCTTATCCGCTAAGGGCTTCTCAGACTGAATCCTAAATGACTGGATAGAGCGGGTGTTGACCTGTTGGGGAATTCTTATATCTCTATTTCCGTCACGGTCGGGAAGAATCTCTGGAGTTAGAGCATGAGTAGTAAGCTGCATAAGACTGGTGTTTTCGTTGGGAGGAATCTCACCCCCGTCCGGCTGAAGTGGTTGTGGAAAAAGTCTAGTGTCGCTTGTGTTTTGTAGCGGCGTAGCGGGACCGTCGTGCTGGGCTACATGTATGGACCAGTCAATATCAAAAGGAGGAATCATAAAAAAAGATTCCATTATATCACGTTGAACGAAGGCTGCAGTCAAATAGTCAGCGTCTACTGGCGTTAGCTTCAGAATTGGGACGAACGAAGTCCGTCGAAGGTCCAGGTAAGTTCGCCAGAACGGTTTCCCGCCACGCCAGTCGGAGACTGGGGCAGATGCCTCAACATTAGGGTCCATCATTCTTGGTCTGCTCGGAAGCTGAAGAGTATGCCGAATTTTGGCATTGGAAAAGCCCAACATGGCTGCATGTTCACATAGTTCTTTTACGCACTGCTGATCCAGTGAGGAGTGTGTCCTCTCTCCCCGAAAGTCCTGGAGCGGTTTCTCCTCGCAAAGGCGAGGAAAATCTCTTAAAGCTCGAAAAAAGAGTAGCGCGAACGCAAGGTTTGGAGATGGCGTGCCGCGTATTGGACAAAAGTATCCTTCTCTAACCTCTACAAACAATGGCTGCGGAGCATTCCACTGGTGAGTTAGATTCTCATATAACGTCGCAGCAGGTTGCCGGGGTATTGACTTTGGCCGGACCTCGATATGCTCCGATAGGATTTTTGCTCCAATAGCTATATATCTCATGTTCGTGTCAAAAGTCGCGATGCTTGGTATCACACAACTCAGCTTCAGGAGCCTTCTTTTTAGGCTTTCTCGGGCTCGTCTGCCACCGACATATCTAAAGAGTGCTCCGCTCTCCATCCCCCGCGAGATGAGATCGCGGTCAGAAGCGCTCGAAGAGGGTGCTCGAAACTCGAGGAATCGGACTGTCTCAGTATCCGTAGCTCGCATGATCTTATCATCGTTATCCGTGATGAATTCCCAGGTGTCCGCTATATGGTTGAAATTGCGGGTCATCAACTCGTCACAGTGGGCAGCGAGATGTCTATGCATGTTCCCCAGCTTCAAACCGGCCCAGAGACCTACATATGGTCGTAGCCTGTCTAGCGCTTCCACTATCTTTCTCCTCCCTAGAAGGGACGCCAGATGCTTCTGTTTCGGTTTGCTCAACCGCAATTTCCATTTTTGTACCTGGATTGGGTCGTTCTCATATTCTCGGACGTTCCAGTAGATCTCGCCGTCACAATAACCGGCCTCGTGCAGGAAGCTCTCATTCTCGTCTCGGATAAATTTGTGAAATTTCGTGCTTAGTCTACTGCCTGCGACCGAGGTAAATATTATGGCTGGCGATAGCGCTCGGATGGGAACTCACTTTCTGCCTTGCAATACACCTTCACAGTCAGCTGATAACTTCTACCGAATGCGATAAGCGCTGCCAGGATTCGCCTTCGACCGCGAAAGCACCAGATTCTGAAGTTACCCCGGACAGACGGGTAACACTGACGCCGGTTTGTATCTCTGAGTTCCTCATCAGACATTTGCGCCGCTTGTAAGATGATTCTGAAAGTTTCTTCAGAGACAAGACCCGAGATCTGGTGGATAGGGTCCGAAGACCCAACCGTCCCGGCGCCATGTCTCTGAAGAACGCTTGCGAGCCTTCTTGCCCGCTTTACATCTAGCGCGAAGAGGCTCTTCCTCCGGTAGTGGGAGAGTCCTAGATTATAAGGAGGATCGAGAGTAAGCCGTGAAATGGGGACGCGAATGATTCCCACAGGGTTCTTTTTTTCTGTGGCCATTGTTATCAAGAGGACGTATGAATAGTATGCTTACGTAACTTTCGTCGCTATTGTGCTTCCTGTTTTAAATCAACTACTTGTCTTCTGGAACCATACGTAGTTTAGGGGCGACGCGAGTTATTATAGGACGCGCGGCATTCAGGAACTGCCCTGCTTAGAAATAAAAAGTCTGACTAATGCTTGATCTCTCGTTTGGAAATAAAATAAATAACGAGGTGAAAATTAAAGAATAGGACCCAGTATAACTGAGCTTTACACTTAGTACAGTAACGTTAACTTAAACGCTAGTTTCCGGAGGCATGCATGCATCTGAGGCTAATACTGGACATTCGCCTTTACTTTGGTATCACGACGCTAAATGGCTTGCAATGAGCAAATTGCCGTTTTAGCTGTGGTAAGACCTGTTAGAGCACTCTCGACACGCTCCCCTCAGCCTGGCGACACAAACAAACCCCCCGCCCCAATTGACGGAGAATCTGAACGCATCACCACCCACATACGACATTTCGTAGCTGTTATTGGAGGCCTGACTTTCAGTGGCAGGCTGGACAAGCGTGAATTGTGGGGCGAGCCAGTACAGTACATGGCATGTGTTGGTCAGCCAAGATGTGGTGGCAAGTCACCACCTGACAAACTCATCCTACACCTCTCCCAGGGTAATAAAAGTTAGCGTGTGACTTGACCCACCCACTAAGCCAGAAACAGCAGACAAGCCAAGAAGTTAAGATACATCTAAGGCCCATACATTGTACACTACAGTAGAAGTATCAGTACCCTATACGTTCTCCCTCCATTTCAATCACCCTTTGCAACCGAGCCGGCATTGAATGGGCTAAGGTTTGAAGAAAATCAGTGGGCACAGCATCCCATGCCTCCTGAACAGCCTGCCGGAGCTGCGCGCGGCTCAGGCTCTGTATATCGTAATGCTGTTCAATCCACTCTTTCATCCATGCCCATACATTTTCAATAGCATTCAAATCAGGGCTTCGAGCCGGCCACCCAACAACCTCGATTCCAAGTGCGGCCAGGAGACGCCGAGTTGATCGGGCGGAATGGGCTGACGCGTTATCCTGTTGAAACACCAGATCCCCTTGTTCCTCACAAAACGTATGGATCAACGGAACGATAAACCGTTGATACTTTTCAGCCGTGATACCACCGTACTCCTTTTCCCACACAAAGCAAGGACCTTTGATGCCGCCCGCGAAACTACCCTAGAACATCCAGCCATGGGGCTTCTGTCGAATCAATGTCCACGCCTCCAGATCCTCGACGTCGTGGATCGTGATCCACTGCTTCCACATATGGCTATTTGTAGCCCACGTTTCGTCAGAAAAGAGCACTTTTTCCCAATCTTCCGGGCGTGGCCGTAAGTAAAGTTGTTCATATGCGAAGGTCCAGACCCTGTACGACGATTTCCTCAAGCCGGCCGCCAGCCAATTTTTGTGGGAGGATACTCGTGACGGTCTCGGCCACGTTACATCTCTGATCATCGCCCCCAAGAGCGGTCTTGAGCTACAGTGGGGGGCCAAAAGTATCCGAGCACCCCGCATTTCCCGACCTCCCACATTTTACATCGTCCCTCCTTATCCAACAATAACTTCACACAACCAAATCACAGCGCAAAACTGATAGTATCTGAGTGATGGCCAAGTGCAGGGCTTTAATATTTTGTGTACCAACCCCTAGCCTTCTTCACGGCGGCCAAGCGGCGTGGCATGCCGTCGATCAGCTTGTCAATCCAATCCTGTTCTACTGCCCACCATGCCGTCCGCAAACACTCGGTAAAGTACTTGATATCCAGCGTGTTCTTCTTTGATTCCCAGAGATCAGGGAACAACTTCCTTAGCTTCCGTTTAAGAGCAGCCCAGACGTGCTCCATCTGGTTTAAATCGGGACTGTGTGCAGGCCATTCGATCCATGAGATTCCCCGTGATTGGAGCCACTCCTCGGTCGACTTACAGACGTGAATCTTTGCGTTATCTTGCTGGAAATGCCGTGTTTCGTCGTAGTGAGGAATGAGACCTTCTTGGAGGGCCTTTTGATACGACCTAGCTGTATACCCCTTCCGAGGAGCATCGTCGTCACGGGCCATAACGATGAGCTCGCTCCGCCCCCCCTTGAAGATCATTCCCCAGACCATGATAGTGATATTCGCCTTCACATGGTTTTGAAGGTTTACGAAACGCTTATCGAACTTCTCAGAAGGGAAACGGAACACCCAGGAGGTCGGGTTGGAGGTGCTATTCTGGCAAGAACACTCGTCTGAGAACATAGTCTGGAACACTTAGCGGGTAAGAAATCCAGGTCAATTTTAGAACGACAAATCTGCAAGAGTTCCTCATTATTTTCAAGCCAATCGCATGCGAAATTATACCTATCCCTTGCTACCTCCTTGCAAAGGGGTATCCGCTTCATTGCCTTCCACTTGCGCATGTTGTTGGCGCGGAGGCATCGCTTGATCGTAGAATAGGAGACGACCTTGCCTGTAGCGTTCACGAGCGCCTTTTTAGCGAGAGTCCGATTCCGTTTGACAAGCAAGATTATATACCGCTTTTCCTTTCGAGTGAGCGCCTGGGGCCGGCCTTTGCGAGGCTTGGATTCGAAGGTGTGGTTTTTGTTCCAGTGTTCAATGGCGTAGTGTACCGTGGACGGAGAGACGCGAAACAAGCCCGCGACGAACCGCTCGCTTTTTCCAGCTGCCACCAGCGTGCACATTGCGGCACGAATCCCGGGCGATAACTCCTGGTTCCGGCTGCGGCTTGCTGTCAGCTGGCCCGCAAAATCTTCTAAATTGAGCTTCATTTGGCCGAGTTGTGGAAGGTTGAAGAACCCGTACTGGTCGTGACGCGCTGAGTTCGCGTTTAATTGAGGTGGGGTGCTCGGATACTTTTGGCCCCCCACTGTAGTCCGAAACAACCCGGACCTGCTGCTTCTGGACTCGACGTACAAGACCAATAGCCACAACATGTCGGAAGCATGGACAGGCGGCGCGGGGCAGATCGCTGGAATGAAGCAGATGAAGCAGTCGGAGCCAAACTCAACGGCGCCAGCGACGCTGTGTGGTAGCAAGCGCAAGCAGGGCGCTGTTGATGTTGATCTCGGTCAACAACCGAAACAGCAGAAGCCTTCGACGGCCCCAGAGACACAGACCCGGGTTGAGGATTGCATTTGGGTCGCTGGCACTTCAACGAAAACTGCAGTCGCAGTCAATTTCGAGGTCACGAGTACGACACCAGGTCTTCAACGGCTGGAACAAGCCGGGGGTGATTTGTACGAGCCGGGAACAGCGGCGCCACGCGCAAGCGCGCGCATTATCGACGGATTAGATGTTCTGGATCCCGACTTCGAAGACGACCACGATGCTGCGCTGTCCGTCGCCAACGTTGCTGCCAGCGAGGCTCGCCAGGATGCTGCTAACCCGCAGTAGCTGACAATCGCAAGCAGCTGCATGGAGCACACTGCTAAGCCGTAAATGTGTAGTTCATAGTCAGTACCTTCAAGAATATCACAAAAGCAATGGGAACGAGCTCATGTTATTTGCGTTGACTTCAATTGAACGGATTGATCAAGCCGACGCAGCTTCTGTGCCTCCACTTGGCAGCTGTCAGGAAGTTCACGATTGTACTACTGCACGGGCACCGCGGGAGCCCTGCCGAATCAGGGATAGCGCCGTGCTATATAGCCGTGGCCGTGTGCGATCTAGCCATTCCCAACTTTTATTACCCTGGGGAAGGTGTACTACAAGATGGTACATCCGTACAACAACCCTGATTGGTTCTTGTTCTCCCTCCGTCTTTTTGTCCAGACAAATGCACATGGCCACAATGAGTGCCGTATCCACGTTGGGCGCCACCGTGGCATGGTACATATGCTGTCCTGCGATGAGCTCTCTGGCGATCTGTTTGCTGGTCTCCATCTTGCGCTCGATCCGGGTGGCGACCGCATCGCTGGCTTTGTCGACGACGTCGTCGAGTGGCTGGGTCATTTTCCCTTTCAGGACTTGAAGCATCGCGCACCAGCCACACGACCTTTTGCCGCCGACACCACAACCGTCCCTTTTGAAGTCCACCTATTGAAGACACGTAACTAAAACAGGTGCAATACATTGTAGAGTAAATTCGAACCCCGAGTTTTGCCCAAAAGTATATGTGACTAGGAGGCTGAGGTGCTAACGCATTCCGTAGTTGTGATAATGAGAAGGCCGAGCGGTCTTATACAGTGCGCCCCGATTTTTGTAGGACGGAGTTCTATCATCATCCAAACACGTCGTGATGGATTATTCGCCCGGAGGCACGGAGCATAAAGAGCCTTGGCACGCTAACTACATCCGGTTCATTGACTTCGGTCATCATGTCATATCGTCATCCTACATGCGCGGGTGTCAATCAACCATCCGTGCAGCATGGCAGTCCGTGCACCTACTACGCAGGGGTGAGCAGCAGGAGAGACGTGGCGCAGAACTGCTTACAACTCGGTGTCGTGAAGCGCGGAGGGATCGGTGCATTGGCGCTAACGTGTGGTTGTGATGATGAGATGCATCGGAAGGCCGGCTAGGCTTATACAGTGCGCACCTTAACTATTGCAGCACGGAGTTTCCAGCATCATCAAGCGCAGCGTGATATGTCTTACCTGCATACACGCATGAGGGAGAATCACCTGATATGCCGAGGTACAAATAGCGAAGCAGGCTTGACTGAAAGGGAAGTAGCGAGACACAAGAGATTAAAATTGGATTCCCGGAAACCCTTCCAAAACAACGTCACAATATTCGGCTTCCTATCAAGCGCCTAGGTAGATGATAGAAATATATTTGTCGACCGAGACAATATTAATGTTTAGCACTTCCACTGTCTAACAGTTTTATCCTTACTGTGTTACAAGATAGATTATCAAGATACCTTTTGAGCTAACGTGGTTTATCACCGAAAGCTCCATATCACCGAAAGCTCCACGAAATCGCACCAACAAAACGAAAACCTAGATAATTCCACCAAGATAACCCCAAACAATATAAAGCATGCAGAATCGTCTTTTTGATATGCGTATAGTACTGTTTGATGGGTACGCGCATATGACCAGGCTTGCTGCACCTGCCAGAACGCCGCGCGCGCGTCTCGGTCCTCGGCTTCCGACCACTACCCGCCTGCGTTTCCTCTGTTATCTGCACCACACCATCTCTCTGGCCTTGCAAATCCTGTCCATCCTGTATATTAAGCGATCCTCCTTGCCGTAGTCGTTGTTTTTTAGCCCTCCGGCATTTGCTTAGCGCCTCATTTGCTGCTCGAAAGCTCTGGTTCTCTGCCTTCAACAATGCAAACTGATGCATTATCCTCGACGTCACTTTCCCAAGTACATTTGCAGCTCTCTGGCTGCCTTGTCTTCCGTCTACCAGGCCGCTCGGTGCCCGTAACAACCAGTACAGTCGAGATAACGCCCATCAAAAACCCAATCTCGTCAAAGTTGTAGATATCCGCCTCTTGGATATCGTACTTCGCGATTGTGTTCTGTCCAAGCGCGAACCAGCCACGAATGATATCTGGATTTTCGCATAAGGCCCTCCGGTAGTCGTATTTCCGATTGAATTGCGTAGTAAGGTCTGGTTGTCGTTTAACGAAGCGATGCGCCCAGAGCGCGCCGACGCGTCCCGCGTCGCGTTCAACATTGGCCATATCCTCCACACTAGATAAGCGGAGGGAAAATCCTTTGGAATCTAGGTCGAAGATATACTGAACAATGACCCATTCTTCTAAATTAGTCAACTTCCGCGAATTGGCTGTAATATCGCGTCGTAATAGTTGACTCCGTCGGCGGCGGCTCAATTTCGTATGGTGGACCGAATAGATCTCAGCTGCAGCTCTTAGGCTTAAAGTCGGGTCATTTTGAAGAGCTTGGAGGGCCAAGACAATCTGGCCTTCATCGTTTTTCTGTGGCATGTTGGGTTTGCGGAGAATGTTGGTGTAAAAGAGAGATGTCGCGTGGACGCGATTTCGTGGAGCTTTCGGTGATATGGAGCTTTCGGTGATAAACCACGTTAACGTTATTGACCTTACTCAATTTAGGATACTCCTAAGGTGCATCTAGGCCTAGAATCATCACTGCAATGTAGCACTGCGACTAATAACGAGAAAAAGCAGTAGAGCCTCCTCTATCAGTCTGAGAATATAATAGTTTATTTTAAGCTCGCGCAAAACAGAAGACGATCATCGATGCATCCGTGTGGGCAACACCCGGGATGAGCCCCCGTTTGATCAGGAGTACTCAAGCATCCTGTTGCCAGCCGTAAGGCCGCATTCGCAACAGCAAAAGACACTAGAACCAGATCAGAATACTTGTGTACAGGCGACATGGTGCGTGAAGTAAGTGTCATTCTTCCATTCAACTACCTTATTCATCTTGACTGCTAAAATATTTTAAGGCAATAGCACCTTCTTCGCCAAGGCGGTTCCCATTGCTCTCTTTCCATGCAGAAGCCCTTAGTACTAGCACCACTCGGACAGTGTGTCTAACAACGTCCAAGTAGCAGCCGAATTTCGATTGTGATGGACCGATTTCGGATGAACACACAGGGGCTGCGCAAGGATGAGGGCCTTATGCATGTGGTAGCTGTTCGTACGACGAGTGCCGCCCGACGCTGGTGTCTCCCGGTAGATAGCTGTTGTAGCTTGTGAAATGGATGATGTCGTCGGCCGTCGCGCACGAGAAACACAAGTCCGGCGGGACAGGCTCGTTGAAGTACGTCATTGGGTATACCGCCGCTGGAGCCGGCAGCATCAGACCTTGCGGATACGGCTCAGTCGGAACGGGTGGGTATCCCCAGACAGCCTCATACTCCGGCTTGAGTACATCTCCGGGAGGGGTGGGGTACGCCGAGTAAGCCGCCGTCTCTTCGCCTGGGCGAAGGGTAAAGAGAGACCGGGTGTGTTCGTACATCTGAGGCTCCGCAGCCGGCGGCGCCTGTCGCTGTTTCTCGGATTTCCGGTTGCGCCTTGTACTAGCGGACTCTCTCTGCTTCTCGTTACCCGATGAAGTTGTTCCCTCGGGGGTTGCCGCCCGTTCTTCGAGATCTTTTAAACGCTTCTGGATTCTCTCGCCTGTTGCAAGATGTTCAGCTACCTGGCGCGCGACTCTGGCGCCTTTTGCGGAAACAACGTACGGTACCTGCGCTGGGCAAGGCGGTTCTGTACCCTCCTGCGGCCGGCAGGATCCGAGATCTGAGTCCAGTCATCGCCAGGACCGGCGGGGCTACTGAATATGGCCCGTCCGCTGTGCCGAGGGTCCTGCCTAGCGGGAGGAATTGACCGAGACATGTGTTGGCTAGATGAGCGCGTCGTACAATTATAGAGGCGGGAAATTGGTGACACCTGTTGTGTTTCCCAAGAAAGGAGATCAGGGCCGGACCTGCACGGTTAAGTATGACGGTAACCTGTACTCCTTGCATGCCGTGTCTGGACGACAAGGGTTGTTCTTGATACTTCCCTAGCTGAATTCCAGAACAGGGCCCTGGTATCCTGCCGGTCCATCCTTTTCGGATTCTGAGAAATAACATTCCTACAATCCAGATTTTGCCACCTTAAGCACGCGTAGATGCTTGGTGTACAGTCTGATAATCAACGCCTACACTGACGGTGAACCACTCCATCGGTATCGGCTCGCTATTGGCTAATAAGGCGCTGGCCCCAGTACGCCAAGTTGATCAAGGAAGGTGTAAGCCAATCCCGAGCCAATTAGATACTAGTAACTGGACTGTTGGTGATAGGGAACAAACGAGAGTCAATGAGAGCCGATGTAAGACTGCGAGTCGGCGCCGGGCTAACGGCAAGATAGCTCCCCAACCTTGTTTTCTGCAGTGTGTTAGGCGCAAGAGCGAATGCGTCGCTTGTGTACTCCTTTTAAACCGAGGCCTGCCTCTACCAGGTTCGGGCCAGCACAGAGTGCCGCCACTGCGGATGCACAGCGTAGAGGAGCAGACAGGATATTACTAGTATCTCTGATTGCAAGTGCTGTGACGAGAGCAAATAGGATATTAGAGCAATGATTCGGGTGGTTGCAAGTAGTAAGTACCAGTAATCTCTACGGTCAAGAAAATCAGAAATCAAGTAACGTTGCTCGTGATTCCTATACAATACAATACAATACAATTTATTGACGCCCGGCGGGTAACCCGAAAGGGCAGCTATTACAATCTGACTATACATTTCCCAAGATATGCCCTGATCTCGTCAAAGCCCATACAAAGTTTCATTCTAGTTCATGTCCTCTCTTATACCATTTCTCTGCGGATTCTCGTGGGTTAGTAGGATTGTTAGCAGGCTTGCTTGAAGGCGATTCTCCAAGTGTTTAACGTCCTATCTTCGGCGGCTGAAGCGGTGTCCGCTGTCCGTAGCACGAGGTGAGGGGGTGTAGGTTCGGTCGGTGTGGTGGGTTAGGTGTCTTAGTCGGCCTGCGGTTGGTTCGTGTCAAGCCGGCCCGTGGCCATTGCGAACCGTATCGTTGTCCGAACGGCCGTCATGTTAGGAATCCAATCTTTCTTATCCAGTAGCTTAGAATAGAGAACCGTAAAGTTTAAATAGAAAGTATCAGTAACCCTATAATTCAAAAGGTAAGTACTAGTAACTTTACAATGCGCATTTCGTCCGGCGCTTCACCCAACGAGAAGCTGAGAAGCAAATGGCGAAACGGCCAGCAGCTTATACGGCCGAGCAGCGCGCTGCTCTCAGCAAACAGCTTGAGGACACCAAGTCCCTTACACCCGACTATGCCGACAAGACCAAGATCAACATCGCCGGTCTGCTGCGAAAATGGAAAGGTAAACGGTCACCTCCCTCCCTGTTTTGCCATTATCTTTGCTGATGAATCTCGAGATACTGCGAGTTCGCTAAGCTATCGGGAACCTGGCGAGAGGTGATGCAGAAAGCAAACCGAGCGATGGCGATGGATTTTCTCGAATATCTTTGTCAAACATGCAGGATCGGGTCGTGGGCTTCGTTCTGGGAGTACTTCCGTCAGTACAAGCAGCTGTATGCCAGTGCCACGGGCCGCTGTATGGACAGGTACGACAGTAAAAGAAGTCAAAAAGGTACATCGCCAGGCCCTCGCACACCGACGCAATAGCTAACACGTCTTACAAGTGGCACGATGCCATTTTGGTCCCGAGGTACGGCCTGCAAGCACCATGCACCCGTGGAAAGGACGTCGCAAACGCAGAGACCTTGCTGGTCCTGCAGGCGTTCAATATCAAGTACGACACCGGCATCTTCTCTCGAGAGAGGCACCGTATCCGGTTGTTGGGGTGCTACCTCGGCCTTGCCTTCACCGGGGCCAGGCCGGCCGAGTTTGTGGACGGCGAGAGAAAGAGCGGCAAGGATGGGTGTCTTGAGGAGCTCTTCCCCCGGCACGCTATTGGGAGTGTCCCTAGCGACGAAGACAAGGCGCCCGATGAGCATTCCAGGCTGCTGGAAGAGATGATGTCGCAAGAGTACGAGAGCCGTGGACGCCCAGGGGCGCTCTGTTACGAGGACATTCAGCTGATGGTCGTACGCCACCCGGAAACCGGCGAGGACGTCCTAGCTATGGCCATCCGGCTTGCGCGCCGCGGAGGGGCGGGCAGCAAGCCGAAGCCGTAAGTGATCGCCCGCTTATCTCTGGCGTCTTGGAGCTAACAATATTCCCTTCAGGACCATCTTCTTCTTTACACCCACTAGGAGGTTGATCTTCAGTCAAGTGTACTCCCTTTCGCTGGAAGGAGGAATGGCTCAAGCGGCCGGTTTTCCGTCGACTTGACGACTCCATTGCTGAGAAGGACTCCGAAAAGTCCAGTTCGGAAAACGAATCAGACAGCTCAACTACCTCAAAGTATCAACCTCTCCCATACCAGAAGCTGTTAGACGACATGACGGGGCAATCGCTTGACGCTGGAGAAGAAAGAGCGATTGAACCGAAGGCCTGGCGTAGGGGGGCAGTCAACGCGGCAAACGGTTTGTCCTTTTCATCCCTAGAGTAGCTTTGTTTAACGGCATACAGGCAATGCCTCTGATGCTGTCCGCGATCAGATGATGCGTCACGACCCCAAGTGGGCTACTTTTAGCAGCGCATACATCAACGAGAAGGTCGGGTTCCACCTTCAGAACGCGTTCCTCGAGGAGCCGACCGAAGACAGCCTTCTTGCAATGCTCTCGCATATCGGCCACATGCGTGATCCCCGCACAAGGAGGGATATGGTTCCCGATCAGGTTTGGGACAAGATGCCGCCCGGTCCGGAGATTGAGGCACTTTCATCGACCGACTGATAGACTGAGGAATGGTCTTGTTGGGTTGAAGCCGCCTCGGGGCCGGAAGGCCGGTGTGCCGATCGACGGACCGCGTGGGCCATTTGGCAATGTGCCAGACTGGGTGCTGTGAATGCAGGACAGGCATAGCGAAATGGGCAGTGGCCATGGCCACCCCCATTGTCCATTTGCAGCTTAGTCTACCTGATAATTCGTACCTGGCTGAAATCCCAGCGGTACTCCCGTACCTTGCCTGTGAGGTTGCAACGATCTGCAGGCGGATTTCTGCCCCGCAGCAGCTGTGCCGTCAATGACTGGAGAACGTCCATTAGGACTTTCTTCTTTCATACTTTCCGTTCTCAACTTACCATTCTTGCTCTCACACTCGAGATGATGCTCGCCGATCTCGGGTTCAACGAGGACACTGCGAGTGCCATCGGTTAGTCTCGTCCTCTGAGACTTATGGTTGTTTTCAACTTGCAAAGATTCACGATGTGGTTGGCTGTGAGGAGGGGAACGGAGGAACATTGGCGGCAGCCAGAAGTGGACAGGCACACCTCTCGGCAAGGGTCTTAAGCGCCTTGTCTGGCGATTGGCTCTTGAATCCCTGCCATGCAGACAATCACGGCTGATATCACGGTGGCTGGCAAGATCCTATCGCCATCCCGCCTTCGACTTTCGATACCACTGCGGTATTGTCACATCATTTTCACCTCGAATCTCGTCGAGTATAATACAATAAGAGAACTACGGAGTAAAAATATGGCAATGCTGAATGCAGAAGCTGTCTTTGAAGAACAATTTGTAGAAGAGCCAGTTCAAGGTCTATCATGGAATCCGCAGGACTCGCAGCTTGAAGGATCAGAGCCACATACGAATTAGTGTATGGCTTGAATTGTACAAATACGTGTAGGAGTGTCAAAGTCGGTAGGATTTTGAACGCTTGTAACCCCGCTCATTATCACCGGCTCGTCCCGCCTTCAGGTATTCAGGTCAAACTGCTCCAAGACGCAACTTGAAAGCAGACCGTCTTTTCGCAATTCTCATCAGTACAGTATGCGGTGAAGCCCGAATGATCAGGGTTGGAGATGGATGCTGCTTGATTACGACGACGGGAGGCTTCTTGCGGTTTCTGAAACCCCCAACTTTCTAGTCGCCTTCAGGGTGCGGAGTGTGTACTACACCCCATTGTGCACGTCTTCAATCTACCTGAGAACAGCAAATTCATTTACAGGCTGCATGCAGACCATATACGTCGGGGCACCGCCCAGGCATGTGCCTGGGACGCAGTCTTCCACGGTTCGAATTAGATGGCTCGGATGGGCCTGCGATCTTGTTCATGCGCATCACCGCTTCCCAGCCATTTCAGTTACACGTGCCTCCGTATCTTCCCCCGTAGTCTCCTGTCTCGTGGTCATCGTCAACGGTCCTGCAGCTGCGAGAGTTGACTCGCCTTTGGCGTTGTTCAGACGGGCTGCCTATGGGTTGTGCATACCAGCATGCAACAAGCAAAAGCCGTCGTTCTTGAAAGTTGAGCTGACAGAGCAGACCCCCACGCCATCCCGTAGACGGAGGACTTTGACCAGCTGCAAGAACGTTGCACTCGCGGACGATGAAACCCAAGGCAGCACTTCCGGTTGGGTTCTGTTGACCTCCAGGGTCGTCAAAAAGAAAGACCCGCGTGCCGTCCAGCAGACCATGCATCACGACAGCCTAACCTCTGTGTGTACCGTCTGCGATCGATTCTCCCCACAGTTCGCAGCCCCGACAGCGCCCCGCGCGGCCTCAAGCTGTGGCCTCCTTTGCCACGGAGGGCGGGCGGCCAAGGTTGAGCGGCCGATACCCGACTGCTGGGACCGGCGGCCCTGCGGTACCCCTGTGCTCTGTGCTCAGTCCCAGGCTCTACGTACCTGGTAAGGCCGTATATGCAGTCCGACGTCAGACTTGAGTGGTTGCATATGCCCTGACACGGCAAACGAAGCCAGATGTCACGTCATCCATCTGCTTCAGTCATCTGGAAGGCCCGCGGCATCGTCAGTCAGCCGAGGGAATCAGGATCATGAGCAGACTTTTGGGTAGTGGCGTCTTCTTATTTGTGCACTGTCTGACAAGGAGCGGTTTTCTTCTCCGACAGCGCTTCCGGAGCCCCGGATGTCACCGGCAGGACGTGGAAAAATTATTCAAAAGTTGACAGGTCGATCCGGGTGTGATCGGACTTCGAGCTGAAGAAGCTTGGATGGGGAAAGGCTGTATTCAAGGCGCCACTAATCCAGTTTGATCTGGCAAGTATTCTAGTGTACTCCTTAAACAACTTCTCAGTCCAGTCGAAGACGTGGTCATATGTGAAACCCTCCGCTCAAAACCGGCGATGGAAAAGCCGGCCAAGGTAGAAGTAGTACGGCTTATCATCGAAAGCCAGGCCCCGGGTGTAGTTAATGTACGTGGCAGATTCTCCGGGCAGAAAGCCATCGCAGAGCGCCTCGGCCGACAGGCTCTCCTTCATCTCCTTGATCCTTGCATCCTTCTCGTCGTCTGTACCAACCTTTAGACCCTGCCATGGCAACGAGCCCCGGGCAAGGTCAATGAGATGGGAAGACCGCAAGGGGCTCCCATCTCTGATTGTCGTGGTCATCGGCTTCGTCGTCGGCGTCGTACTCCGCCAGGTCGATAACAGAACCGAGATCTGCCGTGAGCTTTGCAGGGCTCTGATGCATGCCAGGCGCCATGATCTGAGATCGGGTGGCAGCCGGACTAGGAGGGGTATCGTCGTTGGTCAGGCCGATGACAGCAGCTTTTTGAGCGCGTCAAGGGTTCTTTGTATGCGCTCTTTGCGGTCATGCGTCGTTTCCGAAGGTTGGGTGGCACCCCGGCCGGGAGAGTCAGACATGTTTTCAACGATGGTGACGAGCTCGTTAACGTCTTGATGGGGTTCGGAGAAAGATGGTGGCCGATGCGGGAATGTGGTTGGAAGTTGAGGAGAAGCTGGTCGCGTTGGGGTAGACCAGAGGAAGGGGATTTAGGCAGATTAAATAGCCATTAGGAGCCGGACAGGTTACACTGCCTCAAGCTGTTGGAGATCGGAGGTGGATTCTTCCGAAGCGAGCCGCATTGCCCTAGTGATGAGGATGAGTTCGTGGGCTGGGCGAGGACAAAGCCGTCGTGGCCGAGTGCGGAGGAACCAGTACAGACAGGGTAGCATAAAATGGAAGGCTTCCCAATGCTGTCCTGTGCCGCGGAAAGTTGCACTTCCGAAGAAGGGGAGATTAAAAAGTGAGAGATAAGGTAGATACGATCATCATCCAATAAGGTTCTTGTCGTCGCCATATTCGGGACCCCTTTTGGGTTTCCGGGCCAACCACGTATATTTCTACCACTGGGAAAGCTCGCTCGGAGATATCTCGACTGTTGTAATTAGCTGGCTCTTGGACATCGTGGTTGACTGACCTACGCAGCCACTCCTTGGACCGGCTATCCGCTCCGACCGTCGCAGAAGACTAGGCTAAGCAGCTCTGCCAAAATCTTTCGCAGATACAATCTCTACAGCGTCAATACCCCAGGCCGCTATACGGCAAAGAGGGCCGGAGTCCGGACATGGTCCTCTTGGAAAGGACCGGCACTTTTCCGGTTGCGCAGCTCCACATCGAGTGATCTTACGGCTGGTCGTAGCTGCTTGCTCCTTTTTAACATTAATCCTTGGGATGGATAGGAGGAATTGGTGCCATTCGCATTGTGATCGTGACCCTCAACTTGATGGACATGCAGAGACAACAGAAGATGGTGATCATCAATGGTGGTGTTTTCCATACAGTGGTGATGTTGGATATGTGATGGCTCTGGTGGGCAGGGCTGAAACCCCTGCACCAGATGTGGGGCAACCCGGTCTGCCAAAGATGTGGGGCTCAACCCACAACACAACTCGACCTTATGGACAAGCCATGCGTAACTTAGTCTGGCTCAATGCCTGGTAGCCTAGGTTCGGATAAGCGATGGCTTTGGTGGCACTTGAGGTACCACAGTACGCATCCCACATCTCCCTTTTCACATCCAAATATATTATTATTATTCCTACACCGCTGTGCCCTAGGGCGTGCCGGACCTTCAACAACTTACTATACAGGAAAACCGCGCCCTCCTGGGCCGGGTGAAAAACCCATATCGACTATCAAGGAAACGATCAGTGTGTGATCCTGCAAATACAAAGTGAGAAGGCCTCTTGGCCTTCGAAGGAAAGGGATATCAGACTGCGAGCTCCAGCTCCAGCCTCCTGGCCAGACTGTACATCGGCAGTTTCCCCGAGTCCATCAGCCAGTCCAGGATCCTCCCCGTTAGCCGTGCAGCTTTGGGACTGATTCCCTGTAGGACGGAATAAAAGTCCCTTCGCGTTCTAACCTCGGCTCTCTTCCATCTTCGAGTCAACGGTGGGGCCAAGCACCACATCACCAGGTGTTCGACAGTCTCTCGCCCCTCTCCACACTCGCATATAGGCGTCAGTACCTCTGGGACTCTCCTTTCGAATAAGAAAGCCCGAAGGCCTATGGCCCCAGTTCGAATCTGGACCAACAATGAACTCTTCGCTCTGCTAAGGCCGTCGTGTCTCCGTAGGGTTTTGTCTTGGAACAGAGTCTCCTGCTGGTGGTCAAGGTCATCTGCGGGCCTCGTTGTTGTCCGGCCGTCTCGTTCCTTGTGCCACCTCTCTCTCCAGGCCTCCTCCATTACTCTGTCCGTGTCGGCAGTCCCTCCCGTCCAAACTGCAATTGTGTTGGCGGCTTCTTCTACCGCTGTGGGTTCCTGCGGCCCAAAGGCTCGCGGTCGGCCCCTGTTGTCCGTCCTCGAGTTGAGCATTTGATATATCTTGCCGCAGGCCGCATGAACAATGCTCCCTGCAGTCTTCTTTCCGCCTCGGCCGTCGGCCAGAGTGGGCATTTGAAGCCGGGCCTCAAAGTCAGCCAGTCGTTTGTTGAAGTAAGGGTCCAGTGGCGGCCCCCATGTCTCCGTTTCAAGGTTCCGAGTGGGTGTGGACTTGAAGGCTCCTGCCACTATCCGTAGACTCTTGTTTTGAGCTTTTCCAAGCGCCTTGGTGATCCCTCTCTTTGCTGGCTCACTCCCCTTCTCGGTGGGGATGTGAAAGGATGATGCGCCGTACGCTAGCGCTGACCGGATGCACTTTGAGTATACCTCTCGTGCTTTGGCCAGCCCTAATCCCCACGTTTTCGCCGTAATCCTTGACAAAGCGTAGCTCTGTGTTTTCAGCTTCCGCTCTACCGCTCCTAGGTGGGCCTTCCAGTTGAGTTTCCAGTCCAGCCATCCAAATATAAACAAGTCGCTTCCAGTAGATATGTGCCTTGCTTTCTGGACATGCCGTTCCGATCTTGGCTCGAGAGCGGCTTAACTTGTCCCTCCATATTAGAAAAAAAGGCGCCATTAGCCTCTGACGACCACGAGACGTCGCTATGCATCTATCCAACGTACCGCCTTTACAGGGAAGGGACGAGATGGCAGCCTAAAGGGGCTAACCCACAGCTAACGAGACCCAAGGCTTGGACGCCTGCAGGTTCGAGGTATATAATCCCCTCTTCCCCCCGTCCTCCCGGATTTTCATTCTTTCTCCTTTCTCATTCTTCCTCTCTCGTCCGTCGATCTTCGCTTCACCAACTACCGACCTGGTACCTCCAAGGGTCATCTCTCATCATCCTCCCACGGTCTCTGTTCTTGGCCATCATTCGTTATTGGCGGCCATCTCGGTATAAGATGACTATCACCCGCGTGCGGCAGAACGACCATCACCACCTGCAAAACATCGCTAGCCTCCTCGGTGCCGCATCCAAATCGTAACGGTCACGGGAGCTGGCATCAGTACAAGCGCAGGAATTCCTGTAAGTGTAAGGGCCTCTTCCCATGTATGTCTTCTCACCAGACTTAGGATTTTCGATCGAAGAATGACATTTATCCACCAAGTTGTCGTGATAATTTCCGTTCGTCGGCACTCTTCGACCCGAGGAGAAGGCTTCCCTTTTACAGCCGCATCGCCCACATGCGCCGGGCCGTTAAGGACGCCAACCCGACAAGAACACACGGTTTCATCCGTGGTTTGCGCGATTTTGGCAAGTTGGTTCGGGTCTACACCCAGAACATCGATTGCCTTGAAGCCAAGGTTGGCCTCTCGACCGATGTGCGAAAGGGCGCGGGATATCGAGATCGTTTCCCCAAAACGTCCAGGCGGAAACGCATTCACGGAGTCGGCTATAAACGACGAGGTCAAGACGATAGCCGAGGCGTCGAATGTGTTCTTCTCCACAGATCTCTCGATCGTCTTCGATGTTCTAACTGTCCGGGCACTTTCGGCTGGTACGAGGTTGGCCGAGAGTTGGAGACTCCTTCGGGCCCGGAGATTCCTTGCCCAGGCTGCACTAAGTTCTCCGACGACAGACAGGCAAAAGGGAAACGCGCAACTACAATAGAAATTGCTAGAAGAGTGACCTTGTAGATGATTAGAAATCTCGGTAGAGCTGGATGACGTAAGTAGTTGACCTATAACTATTGGGTAACGTTAGTGGGTGGGATGTGTATCGCGCTAACGTAAAACCCCGGTGCAGGTGTAGGATGACGATACGACATGATCATCAGTAGGGAGCAGCTGTCCAAATTGCATGTAGGTACACAGAGTCAAGCACATCTTCTAACGTGGGGAAGATGAAACATACTAGACCGGTACCTGGTCCGAGCCCGGCCAAAGGGCTCCTCGTAACTAAATCGGCGTATGTGATTGAGATCATAGAAGGCAAATCGCAGAGTGCTAAAGAGCAATGAGAATCGTATACATTGCTACATACTTGACACATGATCCACCCTTTAAATCTGCCTGCGCTAGCGAGACGTCTTGACAAGAGGAGCAAGAACGGTCTGCAATCTATCCAACTCGTTGCCTAATGGAACTCTCCCACCAGGTGGCGTAGGAGGCTGACGACCACTTCCTCCAAACCTACCATTCAGCCCTTGGTCATGGATGAGCTGCTCAAGGATGTACGGACAATTACTGATGCTCTGCCACTCATTCCGTGTTCGGCCAATCCTTATGTCGATGCTTGATCTCAAAGACTCTACAGTTACTGTAATCTCCTTGACAAACGAATGAGCAGTTTTGCACCTCTCCACAAGTGCAGGGGTGCATAGCGCGCCATGCTTGTAGGAAACCTCGTCCCCTCGGTAATAAATATGCATCTGCTGAGCGTGAAGCTTCATAACCAAGTCCATAAGAGCGGGGGCGGACTGTACACGGCAGCGGAGCTGTACAGAGAGGATTCGCGGCGCAGAGTAGAAACACGGAGCTCTGGTAATTTCAATGAAGAATAGATCCGCGAGAAGCTTCTCTGATACTTGTCGCAACCAGTCTGCAGTGTAGTCTTCTCCATTATATTCGATATAGCAACTGCCTCGTTAGCTGGATAGATATAGCGGGGGCTCGAATGTCAGTTCCATAGCGTACCCATTGTCATCTGGAGCAGCGGCATGCACCAAATTCGAGTGGGCAGCTACTCCCCCTTGGAGCACCACCACCCCAAACTTGTTACAGTGCCTTAGTGCATCCGCAGGCCGCTCGAGACCATTTCGGAACCGGATTTTCTTCTGTGTGATCTTTGGTCTCCCGAGGTTCCCCAAGCGGCGCTTGCACTCTGCTAGTGTCCAGCCCTCTAGGAAGTATGCTATTGTGAAAAACACACCTGCTGTCGTTAGCTAGGAAAGGAGTCCAGAATCCTTGAGAACTTACCCGAGTCAGCTGCAACTATAGTGTCAAACTGTTCTCGTACCGGCATGGTAAGGAGACCGGAAGCTTGTTGGAGGTCGCGTAAGAACTGCCAAGTGTTCTCTGGTGCCAATCCACCAAGCTTAAGGACTCGTACTCCAGCGGTTTGCGGTATAAGCTTGAAGGTACCCTGATTCGGGCGATGACACAGAGGACAATGGTACACCTGGAATTCCCAAGGTTCTGTGCGGCGAGCACATTTTGTTGTGCAAACGGTGCATATCCGATGCTTGCAATCCAGCGTATAACGAGCGTGGCGAGCAAGACAGAATACGCAGCTGATGGAACCGAGCGGTATATCCCAGGAGAGCGCTCTGAGCAGCAACAAATGCCCTTGAGCAGACGGCATACGATCTCTCTCGCGTTGGTTGGCCATCTCGACAAAATGGGCCTTCACGGTCCAGGAAAAGTCTGGTAGCGCTTCGCTTCCTTGAACTGCCAACAGTATGGGTTCATAGAGATCCCTGTACAGGTCCAATGGATAGAAACCTGTTTGTAGCCGTCTTTAGACCCTATGCTTCAAGAACTGTTGTAGTGAACTTGGCTACTCACGATGCATCCCAGGTGGATAAGCGTCCATCACGAGAGCTGATGCGACTACCCTCGCACTATCGACGTGCTTCTGCGTTGTGAAGCGTACAAAATTGGACACGCATTCACGTAAGGTCTCAGGCACGGGGTTGTTTGCTCTCGAGGCGCGGTAGATGTTGAACGGACCGACAAGACGGCCAGAGAAATGCACAATTGCAGCCTGGACCAATTGTCTTAGATGGGTTGCAGAAAAGTGTAGCCTTAGGTCTTGTCGTTGTGATGCCGCATTGTCAGTTATGGAGATCAGATTATCCCAAAGGTCGTCGCTAGGGCGATTTGTCAAAACGTGGATGTCGTAGGAGTTGCTGATTATCCTTTTCGCATCCGAGAATGTGTATGTACTGTTTGGCCCTAGACGAAGGTATTCAAGGAGCTTCATCGATATTTGTTGTCGGATGTCTGCGGAGTTTGGAGCCGGACTGTCGTCAAAAAACAAAAGCACCTTGGGCAAAACTGCAGGCGGGAAGGCCATCATTCGCTTTGCCCACTGTGCGAGTACATCTACCGTAACGTCGGTCCCATTGAGATCGGAGACGAAGAGCAGTACCGCGGAACTGAACGGTGCCAACACGTCGAAGTATATTTGGTAAGATATCTCAGCGGCGCTTTTAGGAGCCCTTTTTATTTCATGGGTGTCGTAGAGTCCTGGCGACGGCCCGGCTTTGATCCTAGGTAGCTCGTTTCGCTGATGAAGCTCGCCGTCTACCAGCAACATATGCGGCAGTGCTAGATTGCGAAGGGTTATAGTATTGGTTTCGACGTCGTCGTAGGAAACGGAAAGATGGTTCGACATATACCTTCTTTTGTTCTGGCCTCCGACAGCTAAAATTATCGTTGGACAAACATTTCCGAGGCTGTCAAGGTATCTATATGGACTGAAAAACTCGCAGAGGTACGGTCCGGGGAGTCCGGGAGCCCCCGATCTCAGATCAAGCCAGACGCAGGATTGTGACATAGCGAATATGAAGTGAAAGTTACCTACCTGCGGTGGCCGACCAAAGTAACGGCGAATGTTCAGTAGTAGCCTTAGACGCACTTTAAGTTACTAGGTGTAAAGCTTAGTTACTGCTGAACTCTATATTTTATTTTCCCCTACGTTAGTCTTTTGTCTTATATTTAAACGAGGTACAATATCAAGCTTTAGTCAGATCTTAAATCTTGGGAATGGCTAGATTGCACACCGCCACGGCTATATAGCGCAGCGCTATCCCTGATTGGGGAAAGCTCCCGCGCCACCCTGGGCAGTACAATTGTGAATTTCTGTCAGCTGCCAAGCGGGCCACAGCCCGGCGCCGTTGGACAGCAACATGTACAGGCTCGAATAGGCATAGACCAACCAGGTGATACTGCATCAATTGAGGCACAAGATGAAGCTTGGCTGTCTGAACAGTGCGTCATGTGTGTGTGCTGCTTAAAGAACCGAGGGTTTCGGGGCCGTCGCCAGACCCTGCTTTGGTGGGTGACGAGTCTCCCACATTTACTGCATTGGGCAACAGTGCCCAGCCCCTGAATCCAGGGGCCAAGGAGCCAGTTCAGTTCAATAGGCGCCTGCCCAACAGCAGCCGGCTGCTGCTCCAACTTCCCGCTTAGCTTCCCGCTTCCATCCACACCTGTTACCGCCAGGGATCGTCAGGTATAATTCCTGCCTTGACGCCATTCGTGAAGCTGATGAAGCTGTTTCCAAGCAGAATGGAAGCCATCGAGTCGTCGTCGGAAGCGCCCGGCCGCCCTTGCGGCCCCTCGCCGCCCGAAAGAGTGTACGCCAGTGAATTGTGTAGTTCAAATTCAGAACCTTCAAGAATATCACAAAGACAGTGGAAACGAGCCAAAGTTATTTGCGTTGACTTTATCGAAACAGGTTGATTAAGCTGTGGTGCCCGCTTGGCAGCTGTCAGGATATTCACTCTGGTACTGCTGCAGGGTGGCGCGGGAGCTTTCCCGAATCAAGGATAGCGACATGCTATATAGCCGTGGCGGTGTGCGATCTAGCCATTCCTTAATTTTCGGTACGGTTACTGGTTCGTGGCCAGCTACAGCCCTGGTTTTCCGGTTGCCTTTTGACAATAACTCTCACATCAATTCCGCGCTGATATGCTCGAGCCTGCATGTCTGGGGTCTGGTGTAGCCGTGTCGGCCAAGGGCTAGGTCCTGCCAAGAGGCAATTCGCCTAATGTTCCTGGAGCGTTCCTCCAGGCTTCCTTTGGCGAGCCACTTGTCGGCCCGGTCCAAGTTGTGTAACTAGCTGCCAGGAGTCAAACTCTGGGGTCAAGGGAGATGTCCCAACCAGAGGGGGTAACGATGCCGAAACAGAGGTGACAATGCAGGTCAATTTTAAATCTCAATCTGTGGTCCTTCACCCTAAGGTATTCCCCAACAGGTGGCGGCTCTTCAGTTTTCGCCATCGTTTCACCCCGCATGGTCACCCTAATACCCGTGCCATTGGAGTGCCTGACACTCATAGCATCCTGGGCCTTTCGGCTTAGCGCCTCCAGGCGGAATAAATATCCATCCGTCTACCCAGCCCACTTTGACTGATTTCAACATCACCACTTTCTGCCCTGCTTCCCGCCTGCGCATGCAACAGACCAAGCATACTTAACCAACCCCTCGTCGCAACGTCTGCTTCTCTCCTCCGCACACAAGGAAATGACCATCAATGATGGAGGTTTTTCATTTACTTCCAAATGAAGTACTGGAAAATATTGTCCTTTTTCTACCGGAAGACCATCTCTCATCCCTCGCCGGGACATCACTGCTGTTTCTTTCGATAGTCCGCCGACGGCGATTCCGTTGGATTCTCCTCACTGGGTCTACAAGCCGTCTCCTTGGTATTCTGCAAGCAAATCATCATTGCACGGCCCCGAACCATGCTGCAGCACTCTGTTGTACAGGTCCGCGCGATTACGTCCGAGAAATTGAAGTTAGCAGCATACTCGAGCCGGATCTCCCTCGGATCAAAGGTGTACTCTCCCGGGTCCCCAAACTGCGGCGTCTGGAGTGGAGAGGTCCATTTCTTTGCGAAGACCTCCTCGAGTCAGTGGCCCGGTCGCCTATCGAGGATTTCCAGCTCTCTATCGATGAAATTCCGAAATCCCTACCCGACTGGATGCGTGGTCGTTGCGCGTTCTACACATCAAAGCCTCTTTCAGCAACATGCAAAAAACCGTGGGATCTATCCTGCCGATTCTCCGCCGGTGCGCCAGAACGATGTGGCAGCTATCTATCCCAGTATCGGATGAGTGTCTGGAGGTAGTTGGGCAGATAACTTCGCTCGACCACTTTCGGGTAACGACTCCTGCTTCTCCGGAGCTTTTACAGAAGTTCGTCGAAATACTTCCGCGAAACCTCTCGTCCCTAGACATCAAGTTCGTCGGATCGATATCAATGTCATTGATCGGGGCGATTGCGAAACTACAGTCTCTCCAAACGATTCAGTTCAGAGGCAATGACTGGTCGGTTGACCACAACGTGATTTCGGAGCTCTCCACCTTAAGAAGCTTAAGGACGCTTGGTGTCTATGGATTTTCGACTGGGATAGAGTACTCGAAAAGGGGGGGGGGGGGGGGTAAACGGCCTCGGAAGGCTAAAGTGCGGCTTGTTGATAGGCAATAATAACAGGATGACTTTGGCCTTTGGTTCACATTCGATAATGTTCCGAGTACATCGGATAACGCGCCTAAACCTTGCGCCTGCCTGCCAGGTCCCTAACTGGATCGGTACTTTCAAGGCATGCTTACGCCCCTTCTACGCCGTTTACTGCGCGAGCAGTCCATTCCTTAGTTAAAGAAACAGCATGTGAACACAGAAAGTACTCCTGAGTTGTAGACGGCGGACGCGACGTATCTTTCTGAGCTGACGCAGAGCGTGGTCTTGTAGGCGGGGTGCGATGGCTGCACGAGAATGGCAGCCAAAGAACCAAGCAAACACTCGCCGCCATCGACGTGAGGCGGGATGCAAACGGAAGCGGTCTCTGGCTCTCGATCCGCTGTCCGTGTCGGCCAGTGTCTTTCCCCGCAAGAAACGCTCTGGGCAGTTGGGGCCAAAGAGGGGGACCTTGCCTGAGAGGGGAGAGTTATCTTATCTGGAGAGGAACATGGATATGATCCGCGTTCGAACTACTTCGCGTACGCCACGAATATCATGAAGGAGCATCAAGTTGGAACTAGCATGCAGCACATTCATACGTTCCTCTTAGCAGGGCTATATTACAACCAACTGGAATGGCATTGATAAGCTATGACTTCATTTAGAAGGCAGGATCAGCATTGCAGGTCGTGATAGATTGGTACGTCTAGCCCTGCGAGCAGTGTAGAACCGATTTCTAGGGTTCTTCTTCCTAACTTGTGACAATTAGGTTTATGTCTACCGACCAAAAGTTGATGCTCAAGGAGTCAGATGTCCAACTCGTTTTCGCCTTCTAGACGTGCCTGCAGCTTGAAAGGCGAGTCTGCTCACGCATTACGCTGGAAGCCTTGTATCTAACGTAAAGTCAACAGCGACATTATCGCCGAGTTGCCACTCCCAGGGTCTGTCATCTCGGCTTACCATGACCAGATGCCGTATTGGAACCGCTGTGCGGCGCAAAACTTGGCTTTGAGGAGAACGTTGTCTACACTTACTCCACACAGATATACCTCCTCAAGGTCACGATCCAAATCTACTGCTTACTCGGCGATCCCGGTAATCCACAGACGCCCTCTGCGAGCACCATCGAGTACGTTGAACGCTCGCTCCCTCAAGGATTCCATGCCGCCTACGTTCAAGCTAGACCACAACGATTTAGCGGCAGGGGACATCCCGTCCGCACGTCTACGCGCAGAGTGTTGGCATGCCCGCGCGATACTTACCTGCCCTTTGTTTGCCAGGTCTTTGAGACGAATTCCAGCAGTGGTGCACTCGCTTACATGGGTGAGCTGGCCGGCCTCCATGATCTGGTCCACCATGCTCTGCGCAATCGGCTTCAGCATACGCTGGCTGCTTTCGTCGCGCAGCACTGCAAGAGCATAAGGGAAGTAGGGATTGCCGGGATCGATGCGGCCTCTCTGGATGTCGTCGTAGAGGTTGTGTATCATGGCCTCTGGGGCCGCGGCGCAGTCTTGGTCTTGGCCCATCGCTGTCATCGCTCGCTCGTGTCAAGTACTGGTTGCGAAAGTGCTTGGGCAGTTGCGAGTGGGAGGCAGCATAAGTGGAAAGTGCAAAGGGCACGACGCTCAAAGAACCAGCCTCGTTCCCCAGCAGTTCCTCAGTTCCGCACCGCGCCGACGTGCAAGGCATGTGCTTCCAAATTACCTCGACCACTCAGAGCCCAATGTGTGAGATACGCGCTCTCTCCGTCTATTGCGCCCTCTCTTGACCATGGCATACGTCTCCGCCAAAAAGGCAAGCCGTATCAACGAGCGCACTATACGTTTATAAAGCTCCCAATGATATTATAGTCCCTGTCAACATAATCCGATTCCTTTCCAGGACTGCCTCAGCCTTCTGCCCCGAAACAGGCCTCCCGTCCACAAAGGACTAGCCGTTCCGAACTTGCCGAATCCAATGAGGGTTGGAATGAAGTCGCGCTTGACGCTGTGGATGACCTTGGAGGACTCGGTTCGCCTAGGAGGGAGTGCTGCAGGAAAGTTAGTCAGGAATTTGTGTCTCTTATGGCGGGATTTGAACTCACCCACCAGCAGGGCGTCGTCAAGGGGGAACACACCGCCGAGACGAGCGACGACCTGTTTGGTTGTCATGTGCGTTGCGTCTGCGGGTAGGATGGACTATTGAAGCGGGTGGCGACGGACAGGCGTGGATTGCCTCCTCTCAGGTTCGCCACGCGGCTCCAACTTCTCACGCCATGTCATGATTACTCTCAGTTGGCCGTGTCTGGTTCAGCTAATGACGGGCGATGGGTGAAATGGCTACTTGTCGTCGCAACTATCACGATATGCCAAGGTGGAGTAATTGAAAAGTTCGTCATGGCGGGATGCGGATTTAGATGGCCCACAATCCAGGTAGGCTACTGTGTTATGCAGAAAGGTGAGCACAAGGTTATATGACGAAGTTTTAATGGACGGAGAAACTGGCATTCCGTTCTTTTGCCTGTGCAAGCGGTGTACGTGCCCCAAGACACATATATAGCAAATGCCGAACGACTCTCGCTACCAAAAACGGGCGCACTCCTACATGGAGTCACATAACAGCAGTACGCTTCGGCGTGTCATTAGATCGCATTACTGGAATTTAAATGTGGAAGTTTGCGGAAATAGCATATCCGCTTAAAAACTACACTATCAATTGACGTTGAAGAATTCTCTAGTCTTCAGTACACTGCTGCCCTTCGAACAAGCCTGCTAACTATATATCCTCCCAGCCTTCAAAATATATTCTCAGGGTATAATACCAACATTACATATTCCTTGGACGCAAGACGCGCTTCCCGTTCCCGGATGTTTTAAAGGACTCCTCATCTTCCTCACTCTCCTGGCGCCCCTTCTTCGGCGGAGGCGTTTTCTCTTCATTCGACTCTACGTCTGATGATTCTTCACCTTCCTTTCTCTCCAGGTGTCTCTTACTGCTAATCTGCTGGCGCCTCTTCTTCTTCGGAGGCGAGGTGCTCACCTTCTCTTTTGATTGTTCTTCATCTTCATCGGAATCTCCGTCCTGCTCGTCAGTAGCTCTCCGTTTTCTCTCCCCATGTAACTCGCTATTGCCAATCATAACGCGGACCGGAATGATATCTAACATGCAAAGACAAGCCCGAAGGCTAAGGAGAGTTGTATCAGGCTCCCATGAATCCGTTTTTTTGGATTCGCATTCGTCATAGTGTTTTTTCGAACGTAGAACACTTCCCCAAGAGATTAGGATTGATATAATTTGTCGTTCAATCTTCTCGAAGTCTGCGAGATTAGCTCTACTGAAACGTTTCTTAACCTCTCTCTCCAGTAAGCTCGAGTTCCACTTTTGGTGTTGTTCAATCTTCTTTCGCTCCCGTTCGTTTAGGCAAAGATTGGTGTCCCTGTCCCATAGAGCAGTCATCGTGTTTGCAACACCAATATGACGAAAGTCCCCGATGTCCCATTCTGTCAAAGATGCAAGAGACATATTATGTACGGATACAATAATGCCGGTAACTAGTTGGAATGTTGTTAGGCTGACTTTCGAGCTACACTGTGACAAGGGATTTGCATATTATATAGTTCAAGACCTAGTGAAGATGGCTAAATGTAAGAAGTTAATTTTGGCTCGTACTAGTTATTGAATGGTTTTTTAATAAAATAAAGTTCTCGGTGTCCCAAACAATGCCGCTTTGCAATTGCTGACGCGCGACTATACTGTACTTACGTGATTTTAGGATTCAGGAATGAATAAATAAAAAGTAAGATGGCAGGTAGAATACATGTAGCAGGCAAATCAATATCCCTTGAAGAATCGTAAACTCTTTTGAATATCCAACAAATCTTTCTCTGCAGATTAGACCAATACGAAGTCGCACCGTTGATTACGTACTGTACTGTACATGATACAAGACCCGCTGCCGTACTAGCCAGCAAGTACAGCGGTGGGGAGGTATATGTTTCAACTGATGGATCGCGCCGAGCAGTCCAACGGCAGCTTGGGGTACAATAGTTGGAAGATTTGATGTTGTATGTGGCATACATATATGTATAGCAGCTGAACTGTGATTGACACCAGGAAAAATAACTGCAACTCGCAACGCTAATGTAGGTTAACTGTAGTAGGCATCGTGGTTCGTAATCTCCCTGACCGTAGCGTGTGACGAGAGCAAATGGGACGTTGGCGCAATGACTCGGGTACAAAGTAACCCTTTGATTTGCAAGATCATATTACCAGTAATGATGTGGGTAAGTCATCCCTGATATGTGGAATAGGAAGTACTAGTAATGCGACGTACTTGCTTCTCCACTTATTTGACAGACTGGTAACCATACGTTTGTTTCTAGAGTGGTTACTGGGAATCACCTTCTGAGGCTCTAGGATGACTAGTACTACGTTTTGCAATATATAGCGCTACTAGTACTTCCAAGTTAGCGTTATATGGTTACCGGTACTTATATCTCGAATTATACGGATTACTTTGTATGTTTCCGTGGAGTAAGTAGCATTCTTCACTCTACGCTCAGCGTCTACAAGCGACAATACCAGGTGCAGAGTCGGTTGGGACTTAGGGGAAGGGGAACATGACGAACTTGGAGCCGAGGGTTCTCCGGTGCTTCACCAACAGTCCAGTTACTAGTATCTGATTGGTTCTGGATTAGCTAGCACCTTTTTCATTCAATTTAGCGTACTTTGGACAGAGGCTCAATAGCCAATAGCGAGCCGAAGTGGGCTCTCAGTGCGCAATATCATTGGCCTGCCATTACGAATCGAACACGGGGTGAGCGACTGGCCCACATGAAGCGCTATTTGGGCTGGTGGAGTGCAGGAACTCAAATTTGGTTACAATCGCCAATGAAATCCCATGTAAGAGTGTAAGTCAACCGTGAGAGTTATTGGTAGTGCGACAAGCGCAAGGACTTTAACTGCCCCCTTGGCCCCGGGGAGGTATCTATTGCCGCCCTCCGAAGGCGAACTCAGACTAAGCACCGGAGAACCCTCGGCTCCAAGTTCGTCATGTTCCCCTTCCCCTAAGTCCCAACCGACTCTGCACCTGGTATTGTCGCTTGTAGACGCTGAGCGTAGAGTGAAGAATGCTACTTACTCCACGGAAACATACAAAGTAATCCGTATAATTCGAGATATAAGTACCGGTAACCATATAACGCTAACTTGGAAGTACTAGTAGCGCTATATATTGCAAAACGTAGTACTAGTCATCCTAGAGCCTCAGAAGGTGATTCCCAGTAACCACTCTAGAAACAAACGTATGGTTACCAGTCTGTCAAATAAGTGGAGAAGCAAGTACGTCGCATTACTAGTACTTCCTATTCCACATATCAGGGATGACTTACCCACATCATTACTGGTAATATGATCTTGCAAATCAAAGGGTTACTTTGTACCCGAGTCATTGCGCCAACGTCCCATTTGCTCTCGTCACACGCTACGGTCAGGGAGATTACGAACCACGATGCCTACTACAGTTAACCTACATTAGCGTTGCGAGTTGCAGTTATTTTTCCTGGTGTCAATCACAGTTCAGCTGCTATACATATATGTATGCCACATACAACATCAAATCTTCCAACTATTGTACCCCAAGCTGCCGTTGGACTGCTCGGCGCGATCCATCAGTTGAAACATATACCTCCCCACCGCTGTACTTGCTGGCTAGTACGGCAGCGGGTCTTGTATCATGTACAGTACAGTACGTAATCAACGGTGCGACTTCGTATTGGTCTAATCTGCAGAGAAAGATTTGTTGGATATTCAAAAGAGTTTACGATTCTTC